ACTCCTGATAGGCCCACTCTTCTTTGCAACAACAAGAGTGCACTGTTTATGACTCAGAATCCTGTCTCGCATAAACGTACCAAACACATTGATCTAGACTACCACTTTATCAGGGAGATTCTCAGCTCCGGCAAACTCTTCACTAAGTTTGTTCCAACCAATCTTCAGGTGGCCGATATCTTCACCAAAAGTCTTTCACGCCCTCAGTTTGAGACTTTTCGTACCATGCTACGTCTCGAACCACCACCTTTTCAATTGACGGGGTATTAGCTGATAATTACCTCATTTATTGTATTTATTTGTATATTTATTTATTTCCTCAATTATAGGAGTAATTCTTGTATATCCTCAATTATAGGATTAATTTCAATTGTAGTTATCCTTTATATAGTGATCCTCTTCTCATTAGTTAAATGAGATTTTTGACCATATATTTCACAGGTCATCTTTCATACTTTGGAGAATGTGACTGTTATGGGGTTTTAGACACCCCTCTCTAACCTAGACCTTGTGTAAGGTTCTCGTTGTAATTTATTGATGGTAAATCATAAATTGCCATTTTAGGTAATTCGTGTTTTCTTCCATAGAAAGAAATTTATCATTCAATTGATGTATTATGAAAATTTTAATTTAGTCGGTCTTTCCAGATTTTGAGAAATTACATGTTTGATGAGTCTTGAATTGACTTCCGCATGAAGACAAAAAACAAGTAAATTTAAAAAAATGGAAAAAATGTTTAATAGTGAAAACATAAAATGTCATCAAGAAAAGGGTGTGAACCCTTAAGACCCCTTGAAATTTCCATCACGTGACCAAGAAAATTTCCATCACGTGACGAGAGGGATTTGATGAACCTTGACCAATTTACTTAAATTCGCTGATTCGAAACCGAAAAGACTAACTTCTAAAGAAACCAGAATAGGAAACCCTACTTGAACAGATCTCGTAATCCTTCCGACTCTAAGAGCAACTTGCTTTGAACATAGATAAAAGGTCAAAAGATCACTGAGATAATAGCCTATGAAACAGTTAGACAAGTCTATGATTCAATTATCGTATTTTTTTCTTGGTCAACCGAATTTTAACGTATAGAGAAGTGAAATGTTCTTTCAAATGAATAAAATAATGAATCAAAATAGATGCTTTAGGTTTCACCAGAGAGGATCTCGAATTTACCGATAAGCAAATCGCGAATTTTAAGTCTTTGCTTCATAATTTATTCGACATATATAGTGCTAAATTCGGTGGATATAGAACACACGATGATGCTTTAGGTATAGGAAAAAGGTAATACGGGAGCATGAAGAGCAAAGGGAAAAATATTACTTTAACACTATATAGTAATACAATTTGTCAAACTACAAAACACCAAAGACCTAGTTCCGACAGCAATGAATTGCGTATTTATACGGATCATTACTTTGTAAGTTTTATGACCGTCGAAAATTTTGATCACCTTGATTAATTGGCAGGGTGGAAAGAAAAGGAAGGCAAAGTTTCCGATTTTGGCTGCCATGGTAAGAGACCTACTAATAGTCCAAGCTAGCACCGTAACTTCAGAATCTGCTTTTTCTTTCAGTGGCAAGGTGCGTTTGAAACAAATGATACGACTTACACCTCAAGGCGGAATTACTCGAGGTTTGTATTTGCCTCAAGGACTGTTTAGATAGCTACGAGCCTACGACCGAATTTGAGACGCTTATTCACTACAAAAAGAATTTTTATACGTCGATGCTGAAATAACTGACTTAAAAGAAAGCACATACTCTGTGAGCCCAACTTTTTCAAGGGATGGTGGCGAAATATCGGGTCTCAAAGCTTTTGTTTACAATAAAAGGGTAGTGGAACGTGATCGTGAACAACAATTTGCAAAAAATTCAGATGTTGATTGTTGATATTTATTAGACGTTTAATGTTTTCATGTATAGATAGTTAAACATATTGTACGAGTTTTCAAAGTTAATGCTTTTTATTTGTTTTTATAATCGAATAAATAAAAACTTATTTGACTGGAGTATATAAATAATTTTTTAATTTATTAATTATAATGTAGCCAACTCTATCTCTCAATTACCTATCTTATGCTCGAGAAGGTGCCTCAGTCTCTCTTTCTGGCTCAAAATGTCCATACTAAGTACTCTACATCTCGAAATATACTGCTTCGTGGACATGTTGCAAAACATGTTCAAGAAATCATTCAACATATAGGGCCCGCCACAGTTGTTTACTGAAGTAACCGACTACCCAATTTGCCCATATTTAATACAACTTCTTAAACCTTAACATTTCACTCCATAAAACCAATTGATAAACCGTTCAAATAAATGATACGCATCGAGCCATACCAATATGATGTAATAGTTAATATATTTAGGGGGGAATAGGCTTTGGATAGAGGGTGCACGTAGGGATGGCAACGGGGCGGGGATGGGGCGGGGTTTGCAATCCCCGGCCCCGGCCCCGGTTTATATAAATAGTCCCCGGCCCCGGCCCCGGTCAACTTTCGGTCAACCCCGGTCAACCTCCGGTCAACCCCCGGTCAGCACCCGGTCAACACCCGTTTTAGCCCAATTATATATATCACTTATAAGCCCAAGTCCATAATAAATCTAAGCCCAATTATATATATCACTTATAAGCCAAAATAATAAAAATGTTTAATATTTATATATATACCGGGTACGGGGCGGGTCGGGGGATACAATACCCGGCCCCGGCCCCAACCCCGGTTTGCCTCTACCGGGGATCCCCGGCCCCGGCCCCGGTACCCGTTTTAGCGGGGAATCCCCGTCCCCGTCCGGGTCGGGTGAACCGGGTTCCCCACCGGGTCGGGCCAAATCACCATCCCTAGGTGCACGTTTGCCGTCCTACTTTTAAATTGACATATATGTTATCACTTAAGTTTAAAAAATTGTTGCAACCTAGCGTTAGTGTTATCGTATGCACCTTAAAACTTGCAAATTCAAATCCTTTTTCTCTTCTTTTTGTAATTTCTAGTACTGGTAAGAGAAAAGACCGAAAAAAATCTATTTTGAAATTTGCAAAATGTTGTAGGATAAGTGTGTCATCGTCTAAATGATATGACAATCCAGATAGAGATAAACATATTAGAGATAGATTATAACTAATATCTACCGTAGCTATCTATTTGTAACCCATCCCTATTTGAAGGGCTTTTGATTAATGAGAATTACAGATTCATTCTCTCCATTCTATTGTTGTTTTATCACATGTCAGTTATTCTATAACACAAAAAACCATATATACGTCATTTTTAATGAAACAATATTCTTATATAATTAAGATTTGTCTTATATTTATGTTATCTAATTTGTGCACCCGTTTCAAAAAAACTTTTGTGTCTTCCAAATAGGGGTGTTAAATATAATTGAAACCGAATAATCCATCTGAACCGAATGAAATTAGGGTTAAATGTTCTCGAGTTATTCTGGTTTCAGGTTAAATGGTTCAGTTAACCGAATAAAGATTCTAGTTCGGTTGTCATTTTTCTAAATCGGTTAAACCGAATTAAACATTCTACTTATTTTTTATATATTTCATTTTTATAAAGTAGTAAAACCAAATACATATTATGTATTATTAATTTACATAATTTATTGTTATATAATGTCTTTTGTTTAATGATAATTTTTTTTTGTTATATTATGTTTTTTTCCTTCATAGAATTCATAAATTCAAAAAATAATGTCTTTTGGTAGACTTTCAGTTTTGTTAAATGACGTTTTTTACTTAATACAAGTCATTGTTGAATATTAACGTATGGTACAATTATATATTAAAAGCAACGAACATTGAATTTGAAAAAATCATTTAAGGAAGTGTCTGGTAAAAAATATGAATTCTTATTCGGGTTAATCGGTTACTGAACCAAATAACCCGAAAACCGAACAAACTGAACCTTATTTCGTTTTATCATTGGTTGGTTTTAAAAAAATTAAAAACCATTAATTTGAACTGAATAAACCAAAAACCAATTTAGCCCCTGAATAACACCCCTACTTCCAATGGCATAAATTTTGGATTTTATGGGCTGTTTATCAAACGTTTAGTGGGTAAGCGCTTACCGAGTCACTTACCTTACTACGTGAGCATGCAAATGACCAATAATCCTACTTTGCAAGAGTATGGTAACTAGGGCCGGTCTTTAACGTGCTAAATGTGTGAATTTGAATAGGACCTCTAAAAATTTGGGGCCTAATTTCACATTGTTTAGGGTAATTCATCAACAAATATAAAAAACTATAGTCCACCATCAGTGCCACTTAATTTCTACCAGAAATCAAAAGCATTGTGCCTTATCTCGACTCTGTATTTTGTATGTATGTATATTTGTTATCTCATTTGCAGTGTGATAGAAAGTTTTAAGTGTAACAGAGTCCCCAAAAAGATTGGAACGTCCGTGATGGTAACAATTGAGGTTCTTACCAAATAAGCATTAATCCGGTAAGAAAACACCTACAAACAATCCATTTTGATGACATACAAAAATTATATCATTACCATGGTTCTAAATAAGTCGTTATGCCCTTGCCATGGCGCATTATGACATCAAGGCTTCGGTTCGTCGTCCCGTTAACCCTTATGGTTTTGCTCTAACGCTTGGGTTGTATTATAATATGTTATGACACGTTATTTTTTAAGGTGTGTTGTTACTTTAATATATAATTTGAGGAATAAATGATAATTATGTACAAAATCCAGACCTGAATAAACATGTAGAAAAAGTCGAACACAAGTTCCTTGAAAATTGAAAAAGCAGTGAGTAGAGATTCAAGATATTTAATCTCGATTTTACGCTCTTAATGTCATTTTTTTACAAGAACTAATTAAACATAATTGGAATCGATAGATCGGGTTTGGCCGGTTGTCCTTCTCCGGTTCGGTTTTTTATATATGCGGTTCTCCGGTTCTATCTAAAATTTCGGCGCTTGAACAATTAGTGACCGTTTACAGGGAGATATGAATTTGTTTTCTACTCCATATTTCTCTGTAGATAATTATTGTCTTTTCAGAGAGAATCACTGGTCTCTCGCAATCCACAATCGAATTCTTTATGTAAGTCTCTTCTTTCTCTCAATTTTCTGCAAGAAACCACGCATTTTGATCAGCAATTTGTGAATTTTACTGGACAGATGAATTCATGGATATGTGGTTAGTAATAAGTAAAATGGGGGGTTAATCGAAGAAATCGCAATTGAAAAAAAATGCTGATGAAGTTGATGTGTGTTCTACAGTCAAGAAATGAGTAATTAGCATTTCCAATTTGCACTTGTTTTTGTGTGAAGCTTCGTATTTGAGAAAATTTAAGAAAGAACATACTTTGCACTCCGATATGCTAATGGGACTGATTTTTAGGTGTTAGATTTTTGTACCACACTGCTTTCGGTTTATTCTGCTAACTAGAGGGGTATAGTTACTAATATTGTTAACTTTTGTTTGTGATTTTTGCTATTACGTTGAAACATATACTGTGAAGGATAATTTGTTTGGAATGCTAATCACTTTGTTTATTGATTGTGAATATATCTAATTAATTAGAATTGCTTTCTACTTTGCTTAATCATCATCAGTTGATGTGTATAAATGGTTTACTTGGATTCAGAATTATTCTGCTTTATTCCTAATTCCTAGAAAAAAACACAACCCATTTTAATTTTGCTATTGGACTAGGCGGCTTCGGTTTTTACCAATATATATACAGTAAATGACTCAAAAGCCAGGCTACAAGTCCGGGCATGTTAGCAGAAGTGTATTCCTGCATTGATAGATCATAGCTGTAACTTATGTCATCAACATATTACGAATTGGTGTTTTGACTTGAAACCTTTTGTGACTAGAAAAAGTTAACTGTAAACTGGGGGGAAAAGTTTTGGAGTTCAACTTGGTTATCACCAAATTTGTCAAACCTTATTAGAATCACATAGAACAATAAGATTGAATTCTAGTTCTTCAAAACGGTTATAAATACACAAATATCCATAGTAAAAGCATAGTTTATGTTAATTAGTCAAACAATCGGATTAAGACAACCAAACCTATGACATTGCCCCGTCTGTCTTAAAATTAATATAACTTGAACTTTTTATGGATAATGAGAAAGAAGATAGCAACCATTGACATGTTTAGAATACCTATTCGCTTTTAGTGTTGTGTAACAACCAGTCCCACATTGATATAAAGATGGATTTGGGAGCTCCTTTAGGTTCAAAGTTGTGGGCCCAATCACCTCCACCATGGTTTTAAGTTGATTTGGAGCTAATTTGGTTAGCCTGCTGCCTTCGACTATGGGGCATTACAAATGGTATTAGAGCCGATTCTTGTACCATGGTGAGGCAAACCTCATTGAGCATGATGAGTCCTTTTGGAAGGGGGGGGGGTGTTTTAACATCTTATCTTAGGAGAATCCCACATTGCCGATTAATTAACGGGGGATCTTGGGAAGGCTTGACGAGGAGGTTAGTAATTTAAGTGAGGGAGTTTGTAACAACCCATCCCACATAGAGAAAAAAGAGCTCCTTATAAGTTCAAAGTTATTGGCTATGGAGCGTTACATGTTATGTATTTCCTCTTTCCCTAAATATCTACACTTGACTTTCCACACAGTTTGATAAAAGCATTAGGCTATTAATGAAATATCTGAAACATCCCTGAATAATTAACAAAATGAGAAACTCTTGACCAAAATCAATATTCAATGCTATCAACATTATGTAATTATTATTTTTGGCAAAGATGTAATTATGGACTGGAACTTTGCATTTATATTGGTACATCCCTGAAATGAAATATTGCATTTATTCTGGATGAAGTATGTTCCTGCTGGGATAAGTAAACTTGAAACCAAGATGAACCTAAAGATGGGGAGGGGGGAATCAATAACCATACCAAACGAACCCATATATCCCACACAGAGGACAGATGTAGGATCTGGCGGTAGGATGGACATAGACCTTGCCTGTACTCCCAAAGGGTAGAAAGGCTTTTTCTGTGAAGACCGCTGGCTACCAGAATGTTTCCAATCATCAAAATACATCATGTATTTTGAAAAACCTCAGATAGGGAAATATGTTGTTTATTTGGATGGAGACAGTAGTTCTCACTTCTCAGTGGGCTGCTTGCAATCTCTTCAATTATGTGCTGGGACTTGAAATGCTTCCCACTGGGGAGCAAGGTTCTATACAACGTATATCTTCTAAAGTAGTTCCTTGTCTCTTTCTTACCGTTGCCAATTTATAGGTTGACTTTCTGTTTGCAGGTTGACCATCAACCTTGCAGTAAATTGTTTCCTTATCTACCCAAGAAGTTGCAAGTGCAACTATAGATGGACAGCCAGAAATTCTGGTCCTGAGCCTAAAGAGAAACTCAAGCGTGATAGTCTGTACATAGACAAGCAAGGGAAATTAAGAAGCTTTAATCATAAAAAAGTTTCACGGAAAAGGGGTATGTACAAATGTTTTAGAAAAACCGTCTCCTGTTCTATACAAAAAGTCCACATTTCACTTCCATGTTCAAGGTGTGTTTCAAATTGAAAACTAATATGGAAGCTCTTCAACTTTACATGAAATAATGACGACATGAATAAACTATAGAAGTAGTACTTAGCAAAGACTCTATTGCAAATGTGAAAAACATTATCTTCAATCCAATAAATAGGTCATTTGACCATGAAAGTAAATGTAGATTCTTAATTTGGAACAGAGGGAGTTGTTTTTTTTCTTCATTATATCAGAATCTATAGATTGCTTTTATGATTTTGTCATAATCAGTGCATGTTATATTATATCTGTATAGGGGGTTCTTTAAGGGGACAGGGATGGAAATATGGATCAGGATTTGTGGATGGGATATTCCCAGTGCTGAGCACCGATGCTCAGCAGATATTGAACTTCATGAAAAAGGAAACGGATCTGAACCGGGTATGTCAGGCTCTTAGTAGTCTTTCTCCCACCCACACTACATGGGATGATATCATCAGTGTTGCTGTTCAACTTCGTCTCAATAAAAGATGGGACCCAATCATATTGGTAAGACCCATAATGTTCTATTTGTATTGCTTTTGTGTAGTTGGAAAGCTTGAGGATTGACAGTATTTGTTTCAGAGTATTGTGTAAGCTTGTATGTATTCAATATGTTTCATACTTTATCCATATAATAGGTATATGCAGAAAGCTAGTGTTACGTGTCTCATGGAAAAGCAAGGAAAGAACACACCAAAAAGAACTTATTATATACCATATAAAGAAGTAATTCTAATTCTTTGCTTTCTGCAAGATCGCTATTTAGGCTTGTGCACTTGGCCGTTACTTTATTCAAATGGTAAATGAATATTCGGTTTCCATGTCGATTTATCTTAAATATCTTAGTTTGATCAATGTCAAAATCTACTCTCGTTACAGATGTGTGAATGGATATTGTACAGGAGTACTTTCCAGCCAGATATCATTTGCTACAATTTACTTATTGATGCTTTTGGACAAAAGTCATGCGCTGACAAGGCAGAATCTACTTACTTGAACCTTCTTGAAGCTAGGTGCATTCCTACTGAGGATACATATGCACTTCTTCTGAGGGCCTATTGTACATGCGGATTATTAGAGAAAGCTGAAGCTGTCTTTATGGAAATGAGGAAACATGGTCTTTCACCAAGTATGTCTTGATCATCGACTTTGGCCCTGATGAACCACTAAAGCTTGTGTTAAAACACATCTTTTAAGTCCAAACCATGCTATTTATCTATGCAGGTGCGGTGGTGTATAATGCTTACATAGATGGACTGATGAAGGGCAGAAACTCACAGAAAGCTGTAGAGATCTTCCAAAGGATGAAGAGAGATTGCTGCCAACCCTCTACTGATACCTATACAATGTTGATCAACTTATATGGAAAGGTGATCACAATTGTAGTTCTGTTGAATACTGTTACACTCCACAGTTCCTTCATCGACACATATTACATTGTTATCAACAATGGATTATTCCATTACTAATTGATCTACTAGGAAGTATGTTGCGGGAGACAACCTTGAGAATTCTCTATGGCATATTTATACTTTCCCGGCCATATAATGATCATGTTTAGGATAAATAATTGATTGGAGTTCATTAAAATTTTCAGATGCACAAACTCTTTAGTTGATAGTATGCTTAGGCAGTTTATGATGATTATGATTATATTTTGTTAAACTAAATGACGTTATCATGTACCAATTTAGGGTATGGTGAAAATAACATTGAAAAGTCAAAGATATCACCTATTTGGATAGTTGGAAGGTATAATTATCTTTATAGATGAAAAAGAAACTTCAGTGTGGCACGTGCATTGAGTCAATACTAAATGACAATCTTTTGCGTTGGCATCTTAAAAACTCTAACTAGGATATAAGTCGTTACATATGCGGGTGAAACTCCCAACGAATAGCACAACATCCCAACTGAATCCACAATGTCTATGGCTTTTACTATTTCTATGGTCTTTCTGTGCATACTTTTACATATGGACCACTGTGCTTGAATAGCCCCTATCTAATTTGTTTAATCACCAAAGTTAAACATCCATTGCCATTGTTAATATAACTTCCAAATTCAATTCCGTTAACATAATAAACCCCAAATAGCCGAAATCACAAGCATAACCAAATACCAATAGTGACCGATGACACTATCATTGGACTGTTTTAAATGTTACTTCTTCTTGACGATGTTAGCATCTCTTGCAATCACAATCTTCGTCAAAGCATCTACTAAATTTGGTTATGGTAGCATTTTTGTATACTTTGTGATCAGTCTCAAGGTCTTTTTTGTGCTTGTGCATCAATGTTACACCACATATTTCCACCTTGAACCTATTAAGTTACCACTACTCATTGACAAGTTCCTCAATCCCACGTTCACATTGGCTTTGTGTGCTTGTGCATCAATGTTACACCACATATTTCCACCTTGAACCTATTAAGTTACCACTACTCACTGACAAGTTCCTCAATCCCACGTTCACATTGGCACCACATAAAATTTCCTTGACTAAATTTGCATTTCACAATGAATCACAGTTGGTTGTGGTTTTTTGTCCCAATCTTACTTATACCGTATAAATAACATATTTTTTATGAGTAGAATATCTAAATATTAGGGTAAAACGTTATGGACATTACCACACGGAGAACCCTTACTATAAAGTATGTTAGAATGTGCATATGGGCCAGTATCTAACACTTGTCTTCTAGACTGCCATGCTTGCTTGCTATGTATATATCATGCCTATGTCAATCTGGAAGTCCCCTAGGCTCTAGCGCAGATAGAAGATATCTAATCCATGTAGTTGAAGATAGAATTAGGCCAAGTTCGATTTCAGCATATTGGTTTCTGCCCATTAGCCGAGTTGGCAGTATACTATGATATGACAGTGCAATATATTATTGTTTCAATATTAACAAGCCTTCTATCTCAAACTAGTTGAGGGTAGGCCAAAACTGAAACTCAATAGGAATTATAAACAAGTGAACTCTATATGATTTCCCAACATGTATAACATCATTGCATTCCATCTTAACCATGTTTAAGGGTAAACCCTTTGATATATTCCACCACACAAATATCTCCTCACTACTCCCTTATGTGAATCTTGGTTGTCTCCAGCTCCCTTAACTGACTCCTCTTGATACAAGACTTCTCTTCTAACCATTCATCTAAAGAGAAGAAGAAGAATAAGGACAGGGGTTATGGCTAGAGAGAGAGATTTGTGTTTATTATTTTCTTGAATGAATACAACAAAGTCTAAGAACTTATTTGTAGCTCATACCAGACCTACTAATGTTATAACAATGTTCAGTAACTGCTATCAACAACCCTTCTCAGTGACTCCAACCATCAAACTAACACCTGTAACACGGTTCTTGAGTTTCTGTTTGAAATGTAAGGCTGCTTTTTTTTGGCACGTAAGACTTCTTGATAGCATGTTAGAAACTCAACTGACTCTGTTCTATTTCACGTAAGACTACATGAATTTGAGCATAACTTTCTGTGTTGGTTATTAACAACCTTTTTCAGTAACTCCAACTGACTCTGTGAAACTTCAAACTAACTCCTGTAACACTGGGTTCTTGAGTTTCTGTTTAAAATGTAAGGCTGCTTTCTTTGGCACGTAAGACTTCTTGATAGCATATTAAAAACTCAAAAGATTCTGTTCTATTTCATGTAAAACTATATGAATTTGAGCATAACCTTCTGTGTTGGTTAGTAAGGCTATGTATCGAACACATAATTTCTTACTGTTACCATTTTATATATTTATTTCCTTTTTTAATTGTCATTCTCACTCTTGAACAAGGGAAGGGCAGAATAGCATTAGCAATAAGTTGGTGAGCTTTTCAATGGCTACCTCCCCAAAGGGCTCTCTGGACCACTACAGTAATATTTTTGTTTTTTGGACCTCTATAGTAATATTATCTCCCAAAAGTCTTATTTACTTACGTATTTTTTGTGCTTCCTTCACTTCCATTAGTGTATTTTATACACAAACTTCTCCTAGTACCATGAAAAGAATCATGATGTTTTCTTACACTTCCTTCCAAGTTCTCTAGCCTCATTATTTTTTCACCCAGAGTCCTTGATTCTCTTTTTTTAATGTGAATTATACGTTTTCGGTATCTCGTGGATGTGTTTGATTCGGATGGCACTTTGAGGCATCACAATGCATCTTTAACAATTTTCAACTAATTTTATGGCCAAGCCTATTGATAGGCCTTGGAATTTTGGGAGAACAATCAAAATCCAGCTTTTAAGCTTACCTATATGCCATTGATAAGCCATGGAATTTAAAAGCCATGGAGTCATATGGTTTAGATGGCGCCAAATTATGGGAAGTACCCAACCGTACCGATAAGTTAACCTGCAAATAAACTCCTCATGCAATACAAATTATTTTTATTTCACATCAATAGATTGAAACAAAGGCTTTTGAGTCTTTTCATACACCTCAATTTTGTATAATGTCCAAAGTTTAATTTGTGGAACACCTTATCTAGCCTTGATGCTTGTAGTCAGCTATTAGGAGTAAAATGTGTCAGCTTAGACTTTGTGGCCTTTCCAAGAGTGAAGTTGATGATGTTGGCATCTGGTAAGGAGTTACCTGACTTGTTCTATGTTGGTATATATGTAGTAGCAACACAATATTTGTAGGTGTAGCAAAGGACATCTTTGAAATGTTTTTCTTTTGCTTGGGAGAAATTGAAAACTGTAGTCAATATGGGTATTTCATGAAAAATAGAAATTAAAAGAAGGTTAAGTCGACCTTTTGGAATTCCATGAAGTTCACTTTATTGTAAGCCTGGACATATAATGTGGAATGGGGGATTCTGTTTTGATTATAAATGAAATGAGCCACATCCACTTTATTATGGAACATGGCCTAATGGCAAGTGAAGAACAAAACAAATTGGGTTCGAGTTCAAAGACCTGAAAGATCGGGTGGCCTAAGACTGAAAATGGTTTTGGAACATAGCCATGCAGTCTTAGGCCAACACCAGATCTTTCAGGCCTTTGAACTCAAATCTAATTTGTAAAAGTAAGTTCAGCTTTGAGAATAAAAAATCTCCAGTATCAGTTGTTCAGTTGTACTGCCAGGCACCACGCTACAGGGTATTCAATGGCTTGTAGTTTAAATTTGAAATGTTGTAACTTAATATTCCCCTGTATGGAAAAAGGACATCAAACTGAAAAAGACATCTTATTTTAGCATTTTTTTCATACTTTGCTTTTACTCAGGACTTATCCTACTGTTATTTTGGAATCATGTGCCTCTCAATTTCTTGGTGTTGAGCAATCAAAATCAGAATCCTGTCTGACACAGCAATTCATAGTAGTTCTTTTTCTCTGTTCTACTCTTATTCTTGGTTGTAAGTTTGTCTTATTTACTTCCAGGCAAACCGTTCATACATGGCTTTGAAGGTGTTCCACGAAATGAGAAGTCAAAAGTGCAAACCCAATATCTGTACTTACACTGCTCTGATAAATGCATTTGCTAGGGAAGGCCTCTGTGAGAAAGCAGAAGATATATTTGAGCAGCTGCAGGAAGCTGGTCTTGAACCTGATGTTTATGCTTATAATGCATTGATGGAAGCATATAGGTCTTTTCTAAAGTCCCTTCTGAAGTATTTCTGTTGCATATAAAAGAGTAAGAACACCAACTAACTTTAAAGATGTCCTTCCATTATATAGTTTAGAAAATCTAAATTCATCATCTCATCCAGGTATCCTGTGCTTCTTAACCATGAAACTAGGATGATTTAACTCATCCAATAGTTATACTTGCTGTCCTGGAGTAATGCTTCCAACTTTTCTTTTGATGCTATTCTAGATTAAATGTTCCCTTTGACATTTTTATCAAGGTTTTTCCGGGTACCACCCTTTTGCAAGTCATGATTATCTGAGCTAGTTTAAGTATGTTTCTAGAAAGAGTAATTCACACTCCATCCCATGAAAATTGCAACACTTTCCTTTTGTAGGTTCCTTTTTTTGGAAAGTTTTCTTGAAAGTGACATATTTACCTGCTATCATCACTACGTACAAACTCATGTATTTATACGGTCTAAAAGAATCTTCCATTTTGTTTCTACTGAAGGGAATGTAATATGACACATAGTCAAACTAATTCTTTTAAAGTATGTGTCAAGTCAAAGATTTTGATTTTCATGGTAAGAAGGGAGTACTACAATTAGAGCCTTGCTTTCCGAGTTTTTTTAGAAAATCATAGGTATTGTTGCTAGGTATAGATTATACAACTTGCTTGTTAGTCACCATGTTCTTCACATGATTGTGTCTTTGTTATATGGGACAATAGAAAATTTGGATGTCTGCTTGCTTGTGCACACACTCTCACCTATATCTTACTTGCTTGTTCTATTTATTTGTTCTAAAAGCCATGGGTCTTTATGGAAATAGCCTCTCTATCCCTCGGGGTAGAAGTACAGTCAGCATACATCTTGCCCTCCCTAGACCCTACCTCTACACGGGATGGGATGGGATGGGATGTACTAGGTTCGTTTGGTTTGGTATTTCGTTTAACAGTAGAGAATATGGAGGGAGAGTATTCATCACACTTGAGGGTGTATGCTGAAAAGAACTCTTATTCTTCCATGTCCTACTAGTTTTTGCTGTTTTTTTTATGTTGGATTTGAGTTAAGGACATTCTTAGCAATTCAAGAGACTTCCATCAATTGTTCTATGGTTAAAGGTTAGAGACGCTATGAATTTAAAGTAGTTACCCTGTTACTTTGGCCATTTAACATTTTCATCTTGTGGGTCCCATTTATACGTCTTAGGAGAAATGAATATGTGATTTTGGGAAAGGAGAAACAAAAATTAGAGGGAAATGGTAAGAACAAATGAAGCTAGCCATTTATATGGATGCATATTTTCATCTTCCTTGACATAACAACTTGTAACAAAAATGTTATATTCTCCCAACAGCCGGGCAGGTTTTCCTTACGGTGCTGCAGAAATCTTTTCGCTTATGCAGCATATGGGCTGTGAACCGGATAGAGCATCGTTTAACATCATGGTTGACGCATATGGAAGATCTGGTCTTCACGAGGGTAAGAAAAATCTAATCGGTTATATGCTCATTAATATTGTTCAAAGTAGTTGAAACTTGTTTTGAATTTATCTTCCCATGGTTGTCAAATGATAAATCTATTTTAAATTTGTCTTCACATGGTTGTCAAATGATAAATCTATTTTAAATTTGTCTTCACATGGTTGTCAAANAATGATAAATCTATTTTAAATTTGTCTTCACATGGTTGTCAAATGATAAATCTATTTTAAATTTGTCTTCACATGGTTGTCAAATGATAAATCTAACATCTTCCAAGATCCAAGCAAGGAGAACATGACTTCCATAAGATCAAGGCAAAACATATAGTATTTTTTGCAAAATTTTCCAATTACATAAACAAAAGAATTTATCAATCACATATTTGTAGTCTTGTAATTACATAAGTCACATCATTTTTGTTCAAATTCAACCGAACCACCTAACATAAATCCATTGTTTTCCCCACATCCTCTTGTCCCAAAAAAAGAGAAAAATAATGTAACTGATATAATTGTTAAGAGTATAAGTATGCGATTGACAAATCTTTTTTATGCTGAGTATACTATCACATAATGTGCAATGTGGCCAAACAAGTTTACTTTCATATTACCATGACTAGAACTTCTATTACTAGACACTTTTTTTCTGAAATAATTGAAACACGGACGGTTGGAATATGGTCTTTATTAACAATGTTTAGGTTTAGAAAGTTCACATAGGTAGGAAGAAGAAAGAGAAGGCCAAGTCGCCCGCACACCCTTGCATGGACTGTGTTCCGTAACCCCATGCCATTTTAGTGCAAAATCACATGTGATTTGACCATTCTCGTGTTCTATTATTTTGACCCTGCTCTCTCTCTCTCTCTCTCTCTCTCTCTCTCTATATATATATATATACACACACACACAACAGCACTCTAAGGGGTGTTTGGTTTGATGAAATGGTTTTGAGGGATTTGAATTCCGTGGAAGGATTTGGAATAAGAGGGATTTGGAATCTTTCGTATGTTTGGTTTGTAGGATTTGGAATGGAATTAGAAACAAATGTTGAATCTATTTTGTGCAATTTATTAATATGGTAGTTTATTTTTCTGCAGATGAGTTTAACCACCAAAAGGGATATGCATAGGTGCTTTGCCTCTCAGTTTTATCATCTTCACATACACTTTCTCTTCAAACCACAAACAACGGATGTTCATGGTGGATTTCCTGAACACCTCATGAAAATCTAGATTTGAGGGTGAACATGAATCCTAGGAAGAATTTAATCTGGAAACCACCAACATACTGAGAGACAATAATTCTTTATAGATAGTGAATATCACATCCTCAAATTAGTTGTTAAGATTGTTGTTTTCTGCGCACTTTTTTTGAAGTATGTATTTGTTTACGGCAAAACTCTCTCACACTCTTCACATTTGGTAACCCAATACGGTTGGGCCAATGACCATTTGGTGTTTTCTCCACACTTTGAAAGATCAAGTTCTAACGCACAACCTTTTAATCCTTTCGTTTAAAACATTATACTAATAGGATGTTGGAACCCCTACTTCTTTTGTTTTTGATGGTAATCTAATCTTATTCTTGATTGTGTTTTTGCTTTAGATGCTCGATTAGTATTTGAGGAGATGAAGCGGCTAGGAATTGAACCTACGATGAAATCACATATGGTGCTTCTCTCAGCCTACTCCAAAGTTGGTAATGTCTCAAAATGTGAAGAGCTAGTGACCCAAATGCACAAATCTGGGCTCGAACCGGATACATTTGTGCTCAACACGATGATAAACGTTTACGGGCGTATGGGTCACTTCAGAAAGATGGAAGAAGTTTTAGCAGTTATGGAAAACCGACCATATGTACCGGATATCAGCACATACAACATCTTGATCAATATGTATGGTCGTGCAGGCTATTTTGAACGAATGGAAGAGATATTCCGATTGTTGCCAGCCAAGAACTTGCAAAGAGACGTTGTAACTTGGACTTCTCGTCTTGGCGCCTATTCTAGGAAGAAACTATACACGAGGTGCTTAGAAATCTTTGAAGAAATGATCACCCATGGATGTTACCCTGATGGGGGAACCGCAAGAGTGCTTCTTTCAGCTTGTTCAACCAAGGAGCAGGTCGAACAAGTCTCTTTAGTTCTTAGGACAATGCACAAGGACATGAAAACCGAGCTACAAAATCCATAGGAGTAGCTCAACTCACTATAACAAAATTGGGTTCATGTATCAGAGTCCTATAGGCTGCTTCATAGACTCAAGTTTATAGGACCAAATATTTGTACATTCTATGTAAAAGCGTTGTAATAGCTTCATAAGATACTTTTCATCATCTTTATAAGTTTTTTATGACACTTATGAAATAAAGCATCCTATGAATTCTTTTATATGATGGTATCTAAAAAAATGAACAAGAGTCCTATAAGAAGATATGTTTTAATAGAGAAGTGTCCAGTAAAAAAGTTAACATGGCATTTTATTTTAGAAATATCCATAAACGTCCTATAAACTTGCAACGCTTTAATATAGTATGCCCAATTGTTTGTTCCTATAAACTTAAGTTCTAGAAAGCAATCTATTAAGACACTTAGACATTTTTTACGTCCCATAAACCTGATTTTGTTATAGTGATTGATTACGTATTGTAACATCCTAGTTCTATATTTATTAGATTTCAATGCTTTAAGCCTTAAATACAAGTAGTTTGATCAAATTAAGTGCACTAAAAAGGCTCGAGCAGCAGTAGCATCTTTGAAGTCATCATATTTTCAATGACAAATAGCTTACAAGTAGCTTAAAAGGCAAAATATAAGAAATCAAACCTAAATAGATGAGAAAACAAGTCTAGTAAACATGATAAAACAATCACTTATGAGTTGTTAAGACTAGAAGTATGTGTTGGCAAAGTTATTGATGACAAAGCAAGTCTACCAGTCGAGCTTTTAATGAGCTACTCGAGCTTGGGCTCGCTTATCTCGAGCTTGAGCTTAATTCTTACTGAGCTCAAGTTGATCTCGAACACAAAATAAAGATCGCCTAACTTAACAAGTCGAGCTCCATAACACCAATGTTCGACTCGACTCGTTCGAAAGCTCGATTAAACTTTAGGAGTCGAGTCGAGTCAAGCCGAGCCAAGCCATTCGAGCATCCATTTTTTCGAGTGAAACATATTTATATGTTTACAAATTATATAATCAAAATATAAAAATCATCGAGCATGAGTAAATAAATGAGAATCGATCTCGAATTCGAGCTTATAAACGAGCATTGGGCTCGAGCCCAAACATTGAAAAAGTATTCAAGTTCGAGCTTGAGCCCGACTTTGAGAAAGCGAATCAAACTCGAGCCTGATATTATTTTTTCGATATGAGCTCGAATAACCTGTTATTCGACCTGACTCGGCTCGTTTACACCCCTAGTTGAGTATGTTATAAGATTTATGAGATACATATATGCTATATAAATGTATTTTTATGCTTTATGAAGAATTTGATAAGATATTTTGGCATGTTTGCCTTGTATGAAATGATGATACGTTTATATAACGAAGATATATGTATGATGACATTTTAGGATGGTTTTTTACACATAAGGATGAAAGTTTTATACATGTTATGTATGACCATAAATATCCAACTTACAAGATATTACATGAAGGGAAGTCCTGCTAAGGACCTTCTAGGGCAACCTTATAACATACTTACATATTGCAAGTGAGATCTCAAAAGAGTAATTTTTTTATGCATGATAAGAGTTTTATTGAATTATTATTCACAAATTAATAAGTATCATGAAAATTGTTTATTTACGAAACCATAACTACTCACTAAAGATTTCAAGTTACGCATTTCATGTATGTATCTCAGGGAAGGATTAAAGAGGAATAACATGAAGTAATATTATTCAAACCATGAGTAAAATTCTGTTGTATTATAAGCTATCGTTTATGCTAATATTTGAACTCTGATGTAGTCTTAAGTAGTGATGGCCAAAAACCGGTCCCGAGCCGGGCCGGTCCCAACTAATCTCATAACCGGTCCTGATCCCGGTCGAAAAGGGGAAGATCTGTCAAGGCAATTCATAACCGGTTATGGGGTCCCGATCCCAGTCCCAACCGGTCCCAAGATTATAAAATAATTTTTAATTTTTTTTTTAATGATATATATTTTTAATACATTATAAAATTTGTAATTGAGTCACTTAAATACACTTTAAAAATGCATTTTAATATAATTAAAATTATATTGTCTAACAAAAATATATTATAAAATTATTTGAAAATACATTTATTTATAAAATTATTTGAATTTTCGTGCCGGACCGGGCCTGTCCATAACCGGTCCCGGTCCAACGAAACTGCCAAAAATCCCAATCGGCCCTGGTTTTCGATCCCATAACCGGTCCCGGTTCCGGTCCTCCGGCGGTCCCGGGCCAGGCCAGGCCGATTTGGCTATCACTAGTCTTAAGTCATGGAAGAAATAAAGTTAAATTCAGTTCACATGCAAGACTTAGTAGTATCAAAATAAAGTAATGTCATCCACTTAGGATTGGGACATTACAAGTTAGTATCAGAGGATTAGTTTAGGTAAACTATCTTAGCACCCGCACAGTAGAGGGGAATAAGCATTCCCTCTCTTACCTTCTAAGGAAGGGGCACGATTAGCCTTCAAGTTGCCTATCTCATTCATATAAGGAATGCTACTTTCAGATATTTTTCATAAGCGGGAGAGGGAGAGTGAAAGGAATTCAAGCCGAGGAGGATAACATTGGGTAATGTGGACTTAAGTTGAGGAGGATAACATTGAGTACTATAACAATATATTGCCTTAAACTAACTAACTAACATATACCTAAATTCAATCAAATTATATTTGCATGGAATAGATCCTGGCTCCCGTCACACCGTCTGGACAATCTATACTTGGGAGCCAAACGGATTAGTAAGAGGTGGTAACTTATGTTGGGTCACCGTGTTAGTCCCGTTAGGGTCTACAAGGTGTGTATAACAGTTTGTAGAAGGGGGGGGGGG